GTAAATGGATGGAGGTTACACACAAGACGACAGGGAATCATCATCAGATCAGATGGTGACTGGATGTCAAAAGTACGGTCACCTGTGAGCTCAAGAACACATATCTGCACGATTATGTCTTGATAGTCTCGCAAGAAGATGCCATAAATAATGCACGGTGCATTTTAGCAGTGAGCTGCTCGACTGCTTGAAACAACCATGATCCGCAGTGCTGTCGAATGATGTCGGACAAGCAAGTCCCGTGGTTCGTGAAGGATTCTTCATCTGATTTTCAAGGACGTGTTTGAACGATGAAACATTTTGCAAATCACCAAGGTCTATGCCATTTGATCACATGATGCATCATCTAAATATTACTGGTGTGAACTTGCATCGGATTTTGTTCATCAATGAGCCGCTGCCAAGCAGATGATCTCAACGCAAACATGAGCACTTTTGAAGATGCCAATATTCCAGGCCGTAGAGCATGTATGATGTGGCCACATGTCACATGCTTCTTGGTTCACATAGATACACCTTCGCAAGGCAAAAGATGGAACGTGTTCTTGATTACAAGGAGGTCGGTTGTGCTTTTACCCTGATTGAAACTCTTCTAATAAAGATGTGATACCCTGGATGTGGAATTCTATTTATTGATTCACAGCGTTTGTGATCCTTTTACAATCACCGAGTGCTTGTTCTGTTGAACAAGGCACTCCTCTGTAGTGCCACATGCGACAAGAACTCTACAACTGCACGGCAGCATTGCGAACCGTCAAAACAAGGCAGGATTGATTCGAAGAACATCTCATTTATTTTTATTGATGCTCAAATTTATCTGCACATTGTTTCATTTCTGACTAGGTTTCTGAAGCGTTGTGGAAACATCATGACTGAGGAAGAAATCCAAGTGCAGAAAAATCATCCTACGTCATGAAACATGGAAATGCAATGGTCAATGCACTTGATCATGGATATAGTGATTCATGATCAACAACAGTTCTCTACAGTAATCTATGCGAGCAGGTGAAGTCATCCTTTTTGCAAACGTCTCTTCATGCACCGTTGAACGGTTGAGTGCGTGTGAGCCTGTCCTCTGTAGAAAAGTGAAGTGCATGAATCCTGACCGTAAGACTAGAAGAATTGAAAGTGAGCGATGACATGAGAACATATTGTTAGACAGAAAAGTCGCTCAAGGTACAGTTGAATACAAATTTCTCACAAATCATGCATTTGAGCGCAACGTGCAACGCACTGCAATTTGAAAGAAGGGTCAATCAGAGTTGATTCTGTTCAATGGTGTATCCATTATTAGTTCCTTACCTGTTCATAAAAATGTCATCATGTCTTCGAAGCATATTTGCAAGTACACTCGCGGATTGTATGAACCAAGGGCACATATTACATTACACGCTGGATGATTCAAACCTTGGCCCAACCTGCAGAGTTGAGAAAGAAGCTCGATCATCTCTTACAGATGTGATATGAGATCTTCATCTCATTCCTATCTCAGTTGGGTTGGATTCGAAGTCTCTCAATATCAAGGTTCATCCTCGCGAGTCAGGAAGGCACCATTTCATCGCCTCTTGCTCGTCCAGGGAGAGGGGGCTTGGGGAATGAGAAAAGGGGGCTACCCCCCACCCCCTATTACACAGTTTCAAATTCTTTCAAAGGTGGGTAGTTGAGGGTGCTCCATGCCTACCCCACCCCCCAACAACAATCAAATGGAGGGGTTCTCGGAAGTCGAAGTTCCGACCAGTTTGGCCCTCATTTTGTACCATGTAAGAGCTGCAATTTTAAGTTGGTACCACAGATACTCCTAAAATGCGTACTTTTACATTGGTTTGGCGTGGTGAGGTGTCCACGCCACCAAATTCAAATCACCCTACCCCTCTTTGGCCCTGCACAGCAACGATTTTCATGAGAGCGACTACCCTCCCACATGACTTCTCAAAGGAGGGTACTCCCAATTGGCATGGAATGAAGGGACCCCTCAGGTCCTTCGAAAAAAAAAAAATATTGCCAATTTTTCCTATGAGCGCCCGGCCGGAAAAGCAACGCTATGGTCCGCTGACCGGTCACGGCCGCCCGGAGAGATCAGGCCCCCGGCCAATCTCCGGACACTTAGCCTCCTGGCGGGCCTCCAGGGGGTCTGAGGCGGGGCTGAAGGCTGCAGTCGGTCTACTGACCGGCCCGGCCGGCAGGATCCGTCGAGAAACAGGGGGGTCAAGGGAGGTTTTCTTCCCCCTGGGAGAAATGTCCTATGGGTTTTTGGATCTGCGATATAAAAAAGTCTTGTCTCGGTCACGTGATGTGTCACGTGACCGGTCAGTGAGCCTGTCAGCCCGGGTCACGGCCCCTGTCAGCCGGCTGACATGTCACGGGCTGCTGAC